GCAGTCAGGGAAGGCTTCCTGGAGGAGGGGGAAACATTGAGATGGGTTTTGCGGGATGTGTAGGAGTTCAACAAATCGCAGAAAGAGACCGACGCAGCCGGGCGCAGTCAGGGCAGGCTTCCTGGAGGAGGGGGCGGCACTGAGATGGGTTTTGAGGGACGCGTAGGAGTTCAACGAATCCCAGAAGAGAGAGAGAGACCAACGGAGCCTGGTGTAGTCAGGGAAGGCTTCCTGGAGGAGGGGGCTGCCTCGAGATGGGTTTTGAGGGACGCATAGGAGTTTGCCGAACGCCAAAATAAAGAGACAGAGAGACCAAGGCAGCCTGGTGCAGGCAGGGAAGGCTTCCTGGAGGAGGGGGTGGCAGCGTTGAGATGGGCTTTGAGGGACGTGTAGGAGTTCAACAAATGCCAAAATAGAGACAGAGACACCGAGGCAGCCTGGCGCAGTCAGGGAAGGCTTCCTGGAGGAGGGGGAAACATTGAGACGGGTTTTGAGGGACGCGTAGGAGTTCAACGAACGCCCGGAGAGAGAGAGAGAGAGACCAACGTGGCCTGGCGCAGTCAGGGCAGGCTTCCCGGAGGAGGAGGTGGCATTGAGACAGGTTTTGAGGGACGCGTAGGAGTTCAACGAACGCCAGAACAGAGACAGAGAGACCGATGCAGCCTGGCGCAGTCAGGGAAGGCTTCCTGGAGAAGTGGGCGGCGTTGAGAAGGGTTTTGAGGGACGCGTAGGAGTTCAACGAATCCCAGAAGAGAGAGACCAAGACAGGCGGGCGCAGTCAGGGAAGGCTTCCTGGAGGAGGGGCAGCTCTGAGACGGGTTTTGAGGGACGCGTAGGAGTTCAACAAACACCAGAAGAGACAGAGAGACCAACGCAGCCTGGCGCAGGCAGGGAAGGCTTCCCGGAGGAGGGGGAAACATTGAGACGGGTTTTGAGGGATGAGTAGGAGTTCAACGAATCCCAAAAGAGAGAGACCAAGACAGTGGGGGGAAGAGGGGACAGAGTGTCGCTCTGTCGCCGGGCTAGAGTGACGTTTCGTGGGTCAGCTCGCTCACAGCAGCTCACTCTGGCCTCCGCGAGCATTCCCGCTCAGCCTCCCTCCCAGTAGCTGGACTAAGATATTGCGCTCACGCCCGGCTTGCTGTTTTGTATATATTTTTAGTTGGCCATTCAATAATCTTTGTATTTATTTATTAGTAGAGACGGGGGTCTCACTCTTGCTTCGGCTGGCTCCGCCTCCAGGCCTTCTATACATTTCTCTCCGCCTGGCTCGCAGAGTGCGTGGGAAACCACGCCTGGAGCTAATTTTTCCTATATATTTGTTAGTCGTCCAGCTCATTCTTTCTTTTTTTT